ACGTCCATACAAAGCCTCGAATGGGACCATCTTGATCATGGAGTGGAAGCTATTGTTGTAAGTCAGCTCGACCAAAGGCAAGGCACTCTCCCAAGTCAGGCTACGGTCCAAGACCACAGCCCTCAATATGTCCTCCAAGTACTGGATCGTCCGCTCCGACTGACCATCTGTCTGAGGATGAAAAGCTGTAATGAACTCCAGCCTCGTCCACATGGCCCGGTGTAGAGTCTTCCAGAACTGACTAGTGAACTTCTCATCTCGATCAGACACGATCTCCACGAGAATTCCATGAAGTTTGACAATCTTGTCCATGAACAACTCGGCATACTGACTAGCCTTCATAGTCGTCCGGACCGGTAGAAAATGGGCAGACTTCGTAAGGCGATCCACAATTACCCAAATGGAATCATGCCCGGCCCTCGACCTCGACAATCCCACCAAGAAATCCATGGTGATGCACTCCCACTTCCACAAGGGAACCTCAAGTGGCTGCAACTTCCCTCTCGGTTTCTGATGCTCAGCCTTCACTTGTTGACACACCAGACACCAATTCATGAACCTCACCACTTGCCTCTTCATGCCTCGCCACCAAAACGACTTTCTCAAGTCCTGATACATCTTTAAGCTATCAGGATGGATGGTGTACGGGGCACTATGGGCCTCTCTCAAAATCTCCATTCGCAAATCCCACACCTTCGGAACACAAACTCTACCCTCGAAGACCAAGGCCCCATTAGATGCGACTACGAATCCTCCAACTCTACCGACTTCTGACAACTCCTTCATCCGGCAAAGGAAACAATCATTCGGTTGCTCGGCGACTATCTTCTCACGAAGGGTCGGTCCCACAACCAAAGAGGTCAACATACCCCTGGCTGTCGAAGGTGGTTCCACTGCCTCTAGCTGTAGCCGCTCGAACTCTCGAAGAAGGACATTTTGCTCGGTAAAAATACAAAGCAACTGGCCATAACTCCTCCGACTAAGGGCATCGGCTACCACGTTAGCTTTCCCAAGATGGTAGCTAATCGTGCAATCGTAGTCCTTGACCAGTTCCAAGCATCTACACTGCCGTATATTCAGCTCCTTCTGAGTGAAAATGTACTTTAGGCTCTCGTGGTCGGTAAAAATCTCACACTTGCCTCCATAGAGATAGTGCCGCCAAATCTTCAAGGCGTAAACGACTGCAGCTAACTCAAGATCGTGAGTGGGGTAGTTCTGCTCGTGAGGCTTCAGCTACCTCGAAGCATAGGCTACAACCCTGCCATGCTGTATGAGGACACATCCCAAACCCATCTTCGAAGCATCACTATAGGTGGTGAACTCAGAAGTAGGGTCGGGAATGGACAGAACGGGTGCGGTAGCGAGTCTCCTCTTCAACTCCTGGAAACTCTCCTCACACCTAGGACTCCAATCGAACCTCACGGCCTTCTTCATAAGGTTGGTTAGTGGCTGGGCTATCTTCGAGAAACCCTCGATAAACCTCCGGTAGTATCCTGCTAACCCCAAGAAACTACGAACATCAGTGGCACTTCATGGCGTATCCCACTTGCTTAATGCCTCGATCTTGCTGGGATCCACCTCAATGTCCCTCGCTGTCACAATGTGGCCAAGGAATGCCACACGATCCAGCCAAAACTCGCACTTCGAGAACTTAGCATACAGCTTCTCGCGGCAAAGAGTTTCCAGCACAATTCTCAGATGCTCCTTGTGCTGGTCGATGCTCCGAGAATAAACCAGGATGTCGTCGATAAACACGATAACAAACTGGTCTAGGAAGGGATGAAAGACCCTATTCATAAAGTCCATAAATACGGCCGGGGCATTGCTAAGTTCGAATGGCATCACCACGAACTCATAATGGCCATAGTGGGTACGAAAGGCAGTCTTAGAAATATCCGACTCCCGGATCTTCAGCTCATGATAGCCAGAACTGTAACACCCCGCTGACTGATATACCAGAGTACGCGGTTTTTCGCAAATATTCTGAATAAATAAGTAAATAAACTAACTTTTTAAATTTTTGCGAAACTGATTCGAGGGTTACCGTGAAAACATGACTTCTGAAAACCGTTAGAATTTAAAACTGAAACGTGAAACGGTTAATAATTCATTATCCGACTAACGTCGGATCAAAGTCTGAAATTTTAGCGGAAGTCTTT